GTAAATTGGCCACCGTAATGATTACAAAAGCTGACGTTTCGAGCGTTAGCCCTTCGTCGGAGCGAATAGAGGAATTGTGGTTTGTGTGTGCTTTTAAAGGCAGAAAATGGAGCTACGTTATTGGAGGGTGCATGGCAACGAGAAAAACATGAATAACTAAAGCTCGAAACGTCAGCTTTTGTAATCATTACGGTGGCCAATTTACTATTTCAACTTTGTTGATATATCCAAATTATGAAGGATTGTAAGCCTGCTTTATGAACTGCTTAACTTAATCTCTAACCTAAGTAAATTGCACAATGTAAAACTAATCAAATAATAGTTAAAATGGGTAACTGCTTGTTGTTACATTTTTGTTGCGTGCCATATATCGTACTCGGGAGTCTATTTTGATATATGCTTTAATAGCGGACATTTGTTGGTCATTCGTGCACGTAACACCTTAGCAAGCGAACCCAACGTTTGCATTCTTCTTTTTTCTTCTCTGGATTTTGAAAAAGGAAAAACTGACAACAATGCGATTCCGACTGATGATTACAATCGGGAGCGAAGCACTGCATAACCTTACAGCAGCCAAAAGATGGAGTCCAATTGAGGTTGTTTCTTTGACTCTTTGGAATACAAAGTCCAAAATACCAAGCTGTTTAGTGGAAAACCTATGACGCCACAATTAAATATGGCGCCCGTCTTTCAATCTCTTAGTTTTGTTTAGACTCCAATTTTGGTCATCATGACAGCGTGACGTCACACTTTAGAACTCTACACGAGTGTCGTGCTAGATATATCTGGATTTTAGGAAAAGTATGTCAACGAGTAGCAGTCTTTTTTTTTAATTAATCCTCCCCAATTAAAAAGCAATAATAATCAAAAAATTAAAAAAAATAAATAAATAATAAAGAATATAATAAAACAGTATAAATGCTCAGATTTGAATGCGTTTTACTGTTTCACTAGTCTTATCCATCCTATAATCTAACGTCATACAATCAAAGTCAGCCACATGAAGTAAGAACTGTGAGCAAGGTTGAGTACAAAATTGATAAAGAGATACTGAAATATGACATTCACCGAGAGACAGCAATACAGATCATTCACCTTTACTTAGGCGTTTGTAAAATGGTGGAGAAAAAAAATTCACACATGATCCTATCAAATAATTAATAATGATTAACTACGTAGTACAGTAAGAAAAGATCACAATCAATCACATATTATCATCATTGTTATTATTACATTTGATTCATTTTAATGGCGAGACTGCAACAAGCTCTAATTAAGCGATAGCGTGAACAGATGAGATTGCCTAGACGAGCTAAAAGCACAGTTTACTTTTCGTTTACATAGAACATAATTCAAGGACAGGGTTGCTCAAACCCCCATTAAACTAACCCAATGTCAATGGAAACTGTTGGTTTTTCCTCTATGGCTTTGCAAAGACACACACTATCGATATTTTGTTCACCTCTGCCTTTTACGGATTAACGCTACCCGTCCTATGAACAATCCACTTAAGCATTTATATACTCAAGAACAGATATTTGATTCTCATATTCAATGTCGCTCTCTTCATCCGTTGATTTCACAAGGGAAGCGTACGTTCGGGAACCATCCTCATCAGAGGTCTGCAAAATATTCAGTGGTAGTCGTTAGATACATGATAGTACTATCGACTTAGTAGGCGTGCATGGTTATCGAAACCTTCTCTTGATTGCTTTCAAAACTATTAATGCTTAAAAACACGACTAAACTCGTAAATTCAATGAAAAAATGGTGAAAGAAACCATAAACGTTGCGAAGTGAAATTAGACATTCGTTAATTATACTTTTAGTTATAACATTCATTTTGGGTAATTCTAATCTCTTTGGTTGTGTAATTACCATCACTGACTCTGAACACAGCGCGGTATATACACCCTCCTGTTGGACAGACGGCTCACTTTGGTTTCTTTTACTTCCCGCCGCTAAGCTAAGCTGGGCACCGACATTCAAAGCATTCAACGGCAAGCTTTCTCTGAAGCCATGTTGATTCCTGTAGAGTGAGAGCATACAAATAAACAATGTAGTGGCCTATTTAAAGTGTCTTTCAAAGTTGCATTAGCCTTGCTACCTTATGAGACCAAGTCTCTGTGACTAGACAGAGGGGAAGACAAGGAACGGCTTTCTTTCGGAATCATATGTAACTACGTCTTAACACTCCACTAAAATGCAGAAGGCGAGTCTGAAGGTGTCACCTTACTCTGACTGCAAGAGGGGGTCGTTTTAATCTGGAATAACATACTGGAGAGTTTTTCTGTGCTGTTAGCTTTTGTCACTTTTAAAAATATTGGAAAGTTCTCATTCTTCCCACGCGGTGAAATGTCTTTTTTGCTTTCCTGGACCAAACCGATCGCATATTTGATTTACATCAGACTGAATAAATAAAAAATAAAAACAGGTGAAAAGGGGGTACTTACTTTATAACAGTTTCTTTTATTACATCTGTTGAATAAAATCAAATACCATCATCAGAGTCCAAAATAAAAAATAATTGTAACATGAAACAACACAAAACAAGAACAAAAACAAACAAACAGGAAAAAAAATTCTTTTATTTTCTCCGAAGAGTTAAAATTTGGGCTCATATAAAAGTTGAAGCCAGGCTTAAACAGACATGTAGGCTGAATAACTTGACCAGCCAAGAAGGCGTGGCAAAGCTTAGAGGATCTCAATGTCGTTTAACGATAGCTGTACCACGGCTAAAAACTTTAGACGTTAGTTTCAAAAATTGAAAAATTTCAAGCGATAGTCGTAAAAAGAGTTAACACTAAATTTCTGGTGAAAACGAAGGAATGATGTTAACCGTAAGCCATAAAAGCCATCACCTCAATAAGACCCCCAGCTTGCCTAGAATTATTCACTATCTTGTTTGGGGCGTCTTGATTGATATTTTCTCGATTTGGCATAGCGTAATTTGATTGTTCTTTAATTAAGTGTTATTTTTGCAGAATCAGTCGATCTTCAAAGGCAGCATAGTGTTCGATTACAGAACGCTTAAGACAAATAGGGTATATTTTTTTTGCATTTGCCACAACTCGTGTTTTTCTAATCCTAAACTCACCACTTAATTTTTGCATTTGGCCAACTTGTTCGTTTGATATTAAGCATCTCTTGAACTTTTTAAATGAAGTCTGCCCCTAGATTACCAGGATAATAGTGGGACTAGAGATTAAAGTTAAGTTTTAGCTGAAATGCCAATAAGATCTAACTACCTCGTTCGATTTTTTTTTTTTTTTTAAATGAAGTCTGCCCTTAGATGACCAAGATGACAAAGCGGGCCAAAATTAGCGTTAGATTTGTAAATGAAATCCCTATAAAATCCAAGAACCTATCTCACTTTGTCTCTTCCGTAGCAGTATCAAAACCCCACCAAGAATGATTGATAATATAAACAACAATCCTGCTAAGATAGCGATTGTCAGATAATGGGTGAAGCAGTTTTTGTCATTCTGGAGGCCACCGATGTTTGTAACAACTGATAAGGTAGTTGTAGAGGATCCCTGGTCCGTCAGCAACACTTTTTAGGAAAGAAACAAAAACTGTTTTAAAATCGTGCAATGTATATATAACAAAACGAATAAGTCAAATGAAGTCCAAAGCATTGATCGGGAAAAGCATAGGGCAAGGTTAGATTTTTTCACTTCGTAAAAATTATGCCTTCAACTCTTTGATCCAGGCTTTCTCTGATAGAAAACAGGGATTCAGAAAAACAGAAAAGACAGAAATTCACTCAAACGAATAAATTAGTAGAATGAAAAGCGTTCGTTGATACCTATGGGTTCAAGAGTGCCGATGTCCAAAATGTGGTTTCCCTGTTTCTATCGTTCAAGCGGGTCAACACCGCACCCAACCTACATTTAGGTAGCTCGGAAAGCCACAAAACTCTTGAAAAAAGTTTATCTTTCAAATTGGCACTCTGAAACCCCTAGAAATCAACGGACACTTTTCATCCTACTAATTTATTCGTGTTTTTCTCTTCACCATGTTCCCACCAATGGCGTAGCTCCACTTTCTACAAATAAACCACACCCACCGACGCAGCACCACAGTTTCTATAGAAACGCACTCCTTTACATATTGTGTATTCAAACCTGATTTTCAATTCAAAATCGCTAATAAGAACGGCGTGACAAATGAAACAACAGTTAAAAAGAAAAGGGCAGTTAATCATACTTTGCTACTTTGATACGAAGCTGAGGATAATGCAACCATACCAGAAGAACATTTACGTCACACTGGAACCCGCATCGATACTTCACCTTTGATGGGAACAAGACTGTGCAGTATGTATAAGCCAGGGACTCAGTCAAAATTAATGTTATTTGAAAAGAAAAGAACGAAAAAAATTTGTGAAAAAAAACAGTTGTTTGATTTTCTGTTTATAGTTTGGTTGATCCTCAGTAAATTTTCAAGGGCCGACTAAGTTCTCTGAGAGAGTGAAGGTCAGTAATTCGCCCTCTCGAAGGAAGAGCTTCTGAATCATAATTTCGTTACATTTTTTTTTATAATAATAATAATTATATTAATTTACATTTCTAAAGCGCTAAAATTATAAAATACTCTAAAGCGCTTTACAACATTATTAACTACAAATATTAAAATGATAAACGACAAAATATCAAAACAAACTGTAAGCCAGCTTGAATAGATGTGTCTTAAGCTTTGACTTAAAAATCGTTACACTTGGACTGTTTCGAATTTCAAGCGGCAGTTCGTTCCACAAAAAAAAGTGAGGGAAATAGTATTATTAATAGTAACGATAATGATAATGATAATAATAATAACAATGATGATAATGATGATAATAATAATAATAATTACTATCATAGTCATCATAATAATAATCGTAATAATGATTTAACAACCCTTAGAGACTCTTTACCTTGTCCCTGACGTTTCTTTCGCTTCAGTAACATGACTACAATAAGAATGATCAACACTACGAAGAGCACTGCGCCTAAAGATGCGGCTACTATCATTACTGTGGGAGAAGGACTGCTGTTGTCTTCCATGAGGACTTCGTTTGTTGATTTTACCGTGGTAGGGGTGAAGAAGTTTGTTGAAGATCCTGGATTTAAAGCATCGATACCTCAGAATTTTTGACAACATTGAATTGTGATACACTTAAACCTTAATAGTGCTCCTGGCTGTTGACATTGAATTCTTTACCACCTGTCCAATTTTTAAGCTTAAAACCAGACATTAAACACAAGAATGAACAAGGAAAACCACTATGAAAATCAAAGAAATCTATTTTGCTTTGATTAAAAAAACCAAACGAAAACAAAACAAACGAAAACAAAACAAACGAAAACAAAACAAACGAAAACAAAACAAACAAACAAACAAAAACATACAAACAAACAGATGAACTAAACAATGCCAGAAAGAACTAACAAACAAACTAACAGAATCGAAACAAACAAACCTCTACTACTTCATAAAAAAATTGCCTTTTTACATATCTTTGAATTTACCAGATACATCAGTGATATCTTGCTCAGTTGACGTCTTCCCTCGTGTAGTAACAGCTTTTGTTCCAGGAGGACTGGTGCTTGGCGGAGCAATGTGGAAGAAACAGTCACCTTGACAATTGTCTGTTGATGAAACATAGCATCTGACACTGTCACTAGCAAGAAATTGTAAAGGAGTGGTGCGATTAGGTGAAATACTTTGTTTCTCAGGTTTACTTATAGCCATGAATTAATCGATCTTTTAAGGGGGGTCCCTTATAATCTATCTATAAAACTTTATCAAAGTAGCTGAGATTACGGGTCTGTTCCCTTGAAGATGACGAACCTTCGGTGTAACGTGGTCGAAATGGGCGAGTTCCGGAAAAGGAAAGCTGGGCAAAAGAGAAATGATAAGTTCGGATATAACGCGCGCTATCTTAGTTGAAAGAGCTTATTCTATCAGAGTACGTAGCACGGAGCTAAGCTAAAGCTGTCACGCCGTCTGTCACGCCGTCTGTCAATATTTACTTACCAAGTGGGTTTGTTAGCTCAATTGGTAGAGCGCTGCACTAATATCGCAGAGGTAAGTGGCTCGAATCCCGTACAGGCCTGAATTTTTTCAGGTCACATTTTCACTATTTCTTAAATAGTGCTCAGCTACTGCGAGGATCATGCACAAATACGTTGAAATTTTTACTATATCCGACCATTTCCCGGTCTTCTCTCTAGCTATTCTAATTGTTAATTGAAAGTGAAATTTTGGAACAGCGAGCCGGCAAGAAGCAACAGAAGAGCCAAACAAAGGTTTGTAAACGTGCCAAGTGCCATAGTAGACGTTACTATGTGGTGAGTGGAGACAAAAATCCTCAGAGAAGAAAAGAAAATGAACATGCAGTCAAATTTTTGAGTGTTTTCACACTTGTTTAGATTGTAAGCTTACGTACAGCATGAGGATCTCAGATCCGGCTTAGCCTAATTTGCATAAATGTTTTGGTGGGCAAAGCTCGTCATGATAAAACTCAAAATCAACTAACACTCGTATAGTATGTATAGTCTCGTGTTCAAAAACAAAAAGAACAAAACAGATATGATGAAAAAATATAACCAATTGGCATAACCGTTAAGCTCATACAAATCATGATGGTGTCAGCAGAGCGACTGCGATCATGTTGAGGTCCATCGTAGCTCATCATGGCGATCTCCCGTCAATGCAGTGCAGTTAAGCAATGCGCAAAAATTACATCGTCCGCCCTTCGAGTGAACGACTAGTATTGAGAGCTTACACTGATATCTTTTCTGACGCCCTTAGTGGAGGGCCACATCACTCACAGCGACCACATTTAACGGCACCCTCGTCTCGATAGGGACTTTAAGACTCGACGACGGCGGATGCCTTCGACGAGTTCATCATGTATTGAAAATATACGATAAATTCATTTCAAATGACCTTTAAATAAGAGAAACTTACTCACGTTTACCGACAAAACGGTTAACACTTTGTTTTGACGTCGGAGACTACACAGCTACGGCGTGAAAATTCGCGCGACGGCTACCGAAAATGCGCAGGTAATTATTTTCAACTTCCGCTCGCCTCAACATTTCTCTTAGCTTGTGACAAGTGTAAATGTTTGTAGAGCCGCTCATTTAAAGAAGAAAACTCACTGAGGTTTCTTTCTCCTTCTAAACAGCTTCAACAGTTCATGACCCAAGTGAGCTTAAATGGAGACGAGTTCAAAGAAAACAGTCCACTAAGTTGTTTTCAGTTTATATTCTTGATGAATACTAAAACTAAACCAAGAACTTAATCTATTAGTGGATAATTTGTCCGAGTTTGTTAAAGGACAAAATCGCTGAAGCTAAATATTATTGTGGTTTTCCAGATTATTCTTAAAAAATCGAAACTCAGCCAAACACTTGCTGTCGTCCAAATCATTTAAGTGGAACGCTCCATAGCAGTCGTAAGGGAAGGGATTTTCGAGGTGTTTGCATCGTAAAGCAGAAGAAAATCGTTCTCGGAAATATCATCGACATCAAAACCGTCGAGGAGAAGGTTATGTATCTCTCTAAAGGATGCCAAATTTTCACTAAAAAACTGAAAGCCTGCTATGAAACCGACCGCGTCTTCCACGAGTGTTCTTAAGGTTATGTTCCACGCTTTACGACGGCGACCTCTCCCCATTCCCTCCAGTTCCCGATCGCCGTCGTAAACTCGCCGTCATGGGATCTTAAGATCCCTAATCTTCCTTTTCCTGTGAGTTCGGCTGTCGTTCATTCATGAAATACTCGCCTTGAGCAGGTTGCTTTCTAATTGTCAAGTGCAAAATACCTATATAGCTTATGAGCCACAATTTGACCAGATTTCACAAAACATTTCAATTTCATATTCTATGTTAAGACTAAATAACCCTCAGGCACACTTCTTAAATTCGAGCTGCCGAACTATTTCAGTCTGTTAAGTTTGATGGTTTGACATTTTTGACAGTTTTACTTTTGAGCAAGCAATGAGTTTATTTGAACCATTCTAAGAGGGATTCTGATTGGCTTCCTGTAGCCTGCTTTATGAGAGTATATGGCATGCTCTGAACCCTGTTATTCGCCTTGGAAATAAGTTCTGTTTTGAAAATTGAAAGTAATGCGCAGGTAATTTAATGAATGCTTCATTCTGTTCTGCTGTAAAAGCACACAAGGAGAGGCCAGAGCACTCAAGGAGTGGGGGGAAACACTCGACTACGACTCGTGGAACTCCCTACATCTCTTTCGTGTTCTATCTATTCTTTTCTGTATCAAATATTGATCAAACCTGTTTCTTCCTCGCAAATCCAACTTGTTTGTATGTTGCCACTTATGGTACTAAAAGATCCTTTATATCCAGCTGGATATTCCTTATGAATCAGCCCATAAAAGTCGCTTGGTTCAGGATTTGAGCGCTGCCATTTATTAATAGTCAGAGGTTTACCATTGACCCAAGTCCAATTCCCTGTTGTGAAATTTTGCTCCAAGCCTATAAACCATTCACCATAGTTACTGCCTACTCGGTTTTGAATCTCATTCTTGACGAATTCCCATTCTCGCTCTGTTTCCATCACCACAAGGGTTTTGTTGTTATAGTTACAGTTATCCATTGCCTGTGGCCACGCCATTCCATTTGTCTTGTTATTAAAGCTATAACACGAACAAAACTTGTCTCCATCTAGAATAAAAGAAATGGCAAAGAATTTTTTTAAGCTCTTCTAATAATTTTAAAAGAAAAAAAAAAGGGTGCCTGAGTAAGCATGTCTTACTGACTTAACGTTTAGGTGCTAAAACCTATTGCAAGTTTCAATGAAGCTAAGGATTACAATCAATTACTTCAGTTAGCTTGGTGAAGGATGATCAACATCACCATCATCGTCGTCGTTATCATTATCATCACCATCATCGTTCATCCATTGGTCAACAAGGTGATTACCTATTAAATTAGGAATTTATTTATGATGTATCTATCACTTCATTAGTTGTTTTAAGCGATACTGAAAGAGGACTACTTCAGAACTTGGTTACTTAGAGAGAAGAGCAAAAACATTACGGCGATAGTACAACCTCGCTCCTTACCCACATTGGATGAATATCAGTAAACATCCGCTAGTAAGGTGGGCGCTCTACAAGTGTCGCAAAGATAACTATAATAAAAATCATCAAGACCATTAATTATATGAGGGTCTCAGTGGGG